CCCATGACCGAACCCTTCGCTTCCTCGCCTCCTCTCGCTTCCTCGCCCCCCTTCGTTTCCCTCTGTTTCGCTTCGTTTCCGGCTACAGTCCTCAGCAATGACCGAAGCTCGGCCTAGGGACCGAAGCTCGGCCTAGGACCGAGAGGTCTCGCTGGGAACCCATTTTCTCCCGGTTTTCGCGTAGTTTTGCGTTTAAGGCCCGTTTTTAATTATTTTAACGCGGGATTTTCACCCAAAATCATATTTTAACATAATAAACCCTAAATATTCACAATTTAATCATATTTTCATAGAAATCTTTATTTAAATAATAAAAGTAAGTGGGTAAAGTACAAAGAGGTGGAGTGTTGACTTTGCTTTACCTTATAACACAAGCAACCACTCCCACACCCACTCTATGACCAGCCACACCTCCCCACCTTACCTAGGTCACATCAATGTCCCTTACACTCAATTTCCACTCATTCCCATGTTTTTAGATCTGGAACAAAACACCCTCTCTCCTCATTTCTCTCATTTGCTCTCATTTCACTAAGTATCAAACACCACTTTTCTCTCAAACTTTTTCTCCACCAAATTCGAGATTCAAGGCTGATTTTCAAGTGTTCTTCCACATTTGGTAAGCATAATTCATTCTCCTTATGAATATCTCACTTATTTCCACTCAAATCATGGATATCTTACACAAACTCCATCATAATGGTGTTAGAGCTTCGAATCTTCAAGTGATTCTTCAAGTGTTCTTGGGTTGAACACTTCTCTTCTGCAACACTTATCTACTGAAATCACTCAAGGTGAGTTCATACCCCTACATTTTCATGTTTTCTCAAGTTTTTAGTGGGGGAATACAAGTTAAAACACCAAGAACATAATTAAGTTTTTCTAACAGCCTTCATCATAAAAGTTTAACTCCATTCACGGACTGTTTTGGGCAACTTAAACATTTTTGTTTTCAAAACTGTATAAGGTGCAAATAGATCAAGTTCTTAGCTTTAAAATGACTACTTACACATCTCCATATGATTTTTCTACAATTTATGGTGATTTTTATAAAACTGCCTATCATTTCAAACAACAATCCGGACCAGTCTGTGATTATGGACTTTTTCACCCAAGTTGGAGGTCATTAAAAATCATGATAAAAATTATGAGTAAACTAGACACATTTTGTGAACTCTCAGAATTTACAGATCTAGTTGTCAACTTCGTATGATTTTTCTATGATTTTTTCAAAACAGTGCAGAATGGATAAAGTTAGCCAACAGCATATAAATATCATAACACTTTGTATTATGTTGAGCAAAGTGTATAATCATATGTTCTAATTATTTAATGTGTTTCTTTGTTAGTTTATCATCATGAACTGAAACTAAGTCATTCATAATAAATATTATACATTCATTTTAGAACACGTATAATAAACTATAAAAAGTATAGTTTAATGGATTCATAACATTTATGCATTTCCATAAAAGAGTTCTTACATATTACAAACGTTTTAGCTAAACTATAATAGGTATAGTTTATGATACATCACACAACACACTCGTACAAAAAGGGTACGTTAATACAGAAAAGATTTATATTCACACACATTTCACGTAAACTTGTTAACCTATATTGTGAGGTATTCTCTCCCCGTACGTCCAAGTGCGGGATATAATTCCTGATAATTATAATCAGAATCTCCTGGAGGGAGAACGTGATACTTGTATATAGATCTATCTTCGGTTTGACACCCCACACTTTGCTGCTAGCTATAGTGGGACCTGCAGGTCTACGGGTGACAAATGTCATTTCAATTTTCGCGACGCCTGAGAAACGTCGTGGCAGGTTTACATAGTCATAGTATGATTATAGCGACTAACATAGGGATATAACAATCCAATAAGTTTACGGGATTTTATTTATAAAACCTAAATGGGTTTTATGTCGATTTAAAATCATTTTTTTATCTCAATGAGTACAGATATTACTGTAAACTTTTTGTTTTGGTAGTTACGACTACACATCATTTGAAACCACATTTATACCTTTAAGTATGGCCAATACTTGTTATTTCTCGGTCCTCGGATTTAGGACTACATATATATAATGTATTAACAAACATGAGAACATACGGAAATTTCATTTAAATCAAACGCGTCCATGTCCATTTAAATACATAACATTTTCTATTAGTAAGAAAGGTTACTTATACATTTTGGTCTTCGGTCATAAGACTACATTACACGGATTTTAAAGAAAATATCGGATATTCTGGATACATATTCTAACGCTTTTACAAGGAAAACAGTTTACTTTTCTAACGAAATCTCTTATGAACTCACCAACCTTTGTGTTGACACTTTTCAAAATTACTTGTATTCTCAGGAATTCAGTGAAAATAGGAAATCAACAACGTTTTGAGGATGGGACGATAAATCGTCAAACAGTTCATTTCGTATCATAATGTAATTGATGTGAATCATGTAAACATGTGCTTTGATGTAATGTTTTCAATTATATTTGTGATGGTTGTATTTACTTTGAGCACTATTATACTCATTGTTGTGATCCTCTACATGAAGTCCTCCACCCCCGGACGTTTCCGCCATCCTTGGTTTGGGGGTGTGACAGCTGGACAATCATCTACAAAATTTTTCTTCAGCTTATTCAACTCTTCAAGGTATGACTTTAACATCGATGCATCATGGCTTAAAAATGAAACACAACGATCTACATTTAAAAGAATTTCATTAGCCGTGATGTCAGAGTTAGAGTCTAGTAAAGAATTAGAAAAACACCTTTTAAGCAATTTTGTTAAAACAACATCGCGACACCACCGTTTCATAATGTATTCTTCAGGAATCTGTTCAATAGTATAGAACTTAAAAACACAAAATATGTGCCTATACAAAATATCGACATGTTTAAAATGCATGTGGGTACATTTGTATGAACCATCTGTTGTTGAGTGTGTGACCTGGAATATGTATGAAAAAATATGAATTTCAGTAATAAAGTATTGTTGTGTTATAAAAAAATAATTACGCATTGTTAAAGTAATAACGTACGATGTATTGGGTGTCCTCTGTAAGACAATCGTAATGGTATTCCTCAAGTTTATGATCAACAACAGGACTTGAGGGTTGCATTGTTGTTATGTTCTTTTGTTTCTACAAAACAATAATTGTGTCAACACAATTATTATAAGTAACACTCATTTGGAAACAAATGTTATCAGAATCTGATATCTCTTTCTGCACCTGATAATAAATTTTACGAGTGTAAACCTTTGAAGCATGTGTTTCAATTGGACTAGATGTGATGAATCTAGGAAGTGTTGTAGCAGTGTTAAAGTCATTGACAACTTGATTACGCCTTTGTCGTTCCATAAAACCCTCAAATGTCATCATAAACATTAAAAGATAAGAACCAATAAGGGTATTGTTCTGAAAACGACCAATTTTGGCCTTTAGACAATGATGTAGTTCTCATAAGACCAAACATCGGTATGTCCTTGAAAAATGTAGGCACCCAACGTCTACACAACCCATACATCTCTTGCAAACACTTGTTATTTGAAATGTTAAATTCATTTAAACAAGATTTCCATTCCTTTTCAAAATCACGTGGTTCCAGCTTAGAATTCCAAATTATAGAGTGAAAACGCTTTCGAAAGGCTGAGTTTGTGGCTAGTTGCGATGCTATCTGGAATATATATATATATATATATATATATATATATATATATATATATATATATATATATATTAGTGTAAAATAAATAATTGTGTTGCACAAGGAATGCATGGCTTGAATGCTGTAGACAATGAATTCCAACAAAATTTTGCTTTTAAAATCTTAAAGATTGTATGTTAAAATCTAGCACAAGGAATGCATGGCTTGAATGCTGTAGACAATGAATTCCAACAGAACTTTCTTTTAAATTCTTAAAGAATGTATGTTAAAATCTACTAGCAGTCGGTAATGAATTGTAGTTGTAGCATATATTTTGTTCTAAAATATTTTATTTCTAATCGAATAATATGTGCTAAGAAGGTAGACATAGTGAGTTTGGGTTAAATATAAAGAAAATATTGACCTTATTTGGAAGTTTTTTGGTGATATGCTACATATAAAACCTAAGTGTTGACATTGGAAATACTTCATTAACAACCTTGTTTAAAGCTGGATCTTGATCTGTAAAAACAAGTGTAAGTTGTTTTTTGAAAGATTTCAAAAATGTTCTAAGCAGCCAGGAGTAAGAACTAGCATCTTCTCTACTCAAAAGTCTAGCGCCAAAATTCACACATTTTTTATGATTATGTATCCCAGTGAAAGGTACGAAAACCATATCATATTTGTTTAAAAATATAAAACTTGGTAAGCGTTATTGAAATCAAGGAAATTTATATGAGAATATTGCAAAATTTAATAATACTTATTCATGCTGAATATGGTGTCCAGAGATACAATGTCTCCAAAAGCATTGTAGTTGTACTTTGCAGTTTCGTCAGCCCAAAAAATCGAATTCAATTTTTTCTCAACAACTCTAAAATCGAAAGAAAAACTTGGGATATTTTTTTCCTCTCGAGCATTTTCAATACAAGGAATTTTGCATCCCTGGCACCTATGTAAGAATTGAGATTTCTGGTACTATTTTTGAAATCAGAAACCAACCCACCTCGAATGTCAGAACCACCTTGAAGTCTGGAATACAATCTATGTGCTCTTGAGGCACCAATATTTTGCTTTGACAAGTTATGAATAAACATCTCCTGTGAATAATCAAGTTTCCTCTTTGTACAAGACAAAAACATATTGTCCTTACCAAACAACATATGATTATGTTTTTCAACAAATTCAACAACACTATATTTATTAGTACCATGTAGTAGAATAACAACAATTTTCGCTTTGCATTCGCACCTAAATGAGTCTTTCCTTCTCTGAATCTTATTATGTTGAGGGTCCAAAGTATCCACTTTACCGGTTGTTGGTTTACCTTCCTGATTTCATAACAAATGTCGTTGTGTGGTAATGCAAGATTCAGTTGTTCTAAATGGTCCAAGCCTGACATCAAAACCTGCTAATGATGCATAATTGTAATACATGGATAATGTTGTTGTATATGAATCAAAAATTGAATTGAATTTAGGTTTGATGTTGTCTGAAACAACAGGAATCCAATACGATGATCCACCAGGAGAGACATAATCATGTGTAACATGAGATTGTTCTACATGAAACAAAAATTAAAAAAGTTTCAAATAATTAATCAAGTTTATTAAAAAAAATTATCATATACTAACCTTTCTGAAATTCAATGTTATCATCGTCTATAGTATAATCTGCCTCATTATCATTGAACTCGAATTGATTTTCTGCATCTTTTAATAAGAATATGTGTAATGTCTCGTGTAATGGATACCTAAAATATATATAAAAACAAAAAAAAATACTTAGAATACATCACCTGGGTTATGATTACTAGATTCACCGAATTGATATTCGGAATTGTCATACATGTGATCTTGAGTGTGTTCTAATGGAACCTCGCCTTTTCAAGTGCAAGTTACGCCAAAACACAAAAAACAATAGAAATTTTCAACATTATTATTATACAAAAAAACACATATTAAAAATTATAAAGTAAAATCACCTAAATTTGTATTGCTACTCTCAAATATTTCAAATTCGACATGATGTAGAGAGTCATGATCCCGTAACACGAAATGTTCATACTCCTTAGGAAGTTCATGTGGATCATGAACATGATCATCACCAGCTGATACTGTATCATCCATAAGATAAGTAAAACCACGATTGAACACTAGTTGATATGAGAAATCAAAATAAATGTGATGTTACAAGATCTGAGCCATTTCAGAATATATTAAAATGTAACACCCCGTTCTTAAAGTGTTTAATTATGAGTCCCTGAGATTTAAGAGGAAGGGTAATCCTGGTCCTTTTACGGGAAATAGGTTTCATCCGAGAAGGTTTCGGGCTGGTGTATGTTGTTAGAAGCATTGGGCTTCTCGTCACCCTCGCATGAATGTAAAGTTATTTGGGAGCGGGTTTAGAGTAGAGGAGTTGCAGTGTTTAGAAGATGATTATTGTTATAGCTCTTTGTGAAATAAGTGGGAAAGGTCCCATGCATGCATGCATAAGTTTTAGGTTTTGGCTGGGTATGCCTAGTGTAAGCTGGATGTACACCCAGCGTAGTGGCGAGAAAGATGCGGGTTGGCTAAGTAAGTACGCCCAGCGTACTCTCAGAAACCCCAAACCCTAATTTAGGGTCAGCCACTATATAAGGAACATGTTGGTTCATACCCTAGCCTCCATAAGCTCATCCTTAACCTCAGAAACCCTAGAAACTCGTATTCCCTCCATTGTTGGGTGTGTTTGACCTTGGAAAGCTCATTTTGACAAAAGAAAGGTTAGAAGGAGAAAGGAGAAGTTGTCAAGGAAAAAGAGGAACGATTGGAGCTTGTAGATCTGAAGAGATACCATCCTTTGGAGCTTGTTTGAGGTATAAAGCTTCTTGCTTGCCATATATTTTGCATAGATCTAAGTGTTGTGGAGTTTTTAGCATCTTTCTTGTCCCAAAGTTCTCATCTTGATTCTTGCTTTGTGTTGGCCGAGATTATCTGTCCTTTCAGACCTTTGGAGAGGTCTTGAGTGAGAAAAATGAGGCCCCAAGGGCTGTAGTTGTTCCATGTGTGAGAAGCATAGGTCTTAATGGATTAAGACCTTGGATTAAGAGCTTTATGGACATCCCAAGTGATAAAGTTTGAGACTTTATGAATCTTAGGCATATTTGGCCTAAGGATCTGAAGTTTGGGCTTAAGAGCTTAAGCCATTAAGAAGGTATAAGAACTTAAAGAATAGCGCAGTTACGCCCCGTGTAGCGGGCCAGTGCCCCGATTCTTTTTTGTAAATTGCAGTACGCCCAACGTACCAGAGAGAGTACGCCCAACGTACTCCCCCTGATTGGATCTTAATATTGGGCCTTTGAGTTTAGGCCGTTTGTGGGTAGTTGGTCATTGGGCCAAGTCTGGGAATTTATGGATATAGTATTTTGGGCCCAATTGTTGTTATGGATATTGGATCTAGGACCATTTGGTGAGGTGGGCCCAATTTGGTAAATTGGGCCAATATTGGACTTTGTATGAGATTTGGACCTTGGTCTTGGCCTGATAAGTGGATGTATGATTGGCCTAATGTTTATTTTGTTATAATGGTTAATTTGGGATTTTCAGTGAGTTGGTGATTCGAGAGTCTGCTTCTTCAGTTCAGAGTATCGGCATTCGCGAGGTGAGTTATCCTCACTATATCGACAGGTTCTAAGGCACCAAGGTCGGCCCTTTATCGGATTGAGATTCAGATATTTGTTGTTATGTTATTGCTTTGATATGTCTGCATCCTGGTAGCTAGAATGGTATATGTTAGAGACCTGGTTAAGGTCGGTTTCCTGAAATGTAGGGTGATGCTATGCTAGTGACTGGTTAGGTCGGTATCCTGGTTAGGATGATGATATGTTACGTGATCTGCTTGATCAGCTTGCTGACTATGAACTGTTATATAATTGTATGTTATGTGCACATGGTTGTTTGGACTGGAGTTGGGTTGAGGCGGTCCTGCTTTGTGCTGTAGGCCAAGATACCCAGGGCAGAACGGTTGTTCCGAAGGCCCAATGAGCGGTCCGGATAGGCTATAGGCCCCACGAGGGCAGACCTGACGTGCCGAGGCTCGGAGAGTGGACCAGGCCGACTGAAGGCCCGATGCGAGCGGACTAGTCATACTTTAGACTCAGAGAGTGGACCAGGTGGGTTGAAGGCCCAGTGCGGGCGGACCAACCACACTGTATACTCGAGGGACATGACTAGACTCGGAGGGTGGACCCGGTGGACTGAAGGCCCTATACGGCGGACCAGTCACACAGTAGACCCGATATGCATGGCTGTTCTGTGTTCTGTTATGTTATGTATGCTATTTATGTTATGGGCCGGAAGGCACTATGTTATGGGCCGGAAGGCATTATGATTTGGACCGGAATATCGTAGCCTGGAAGGGCGTATACGTGGTTGGTATTTTGGGGGTATCTCACTAAGCTTTCGGGCTTACAGTTGTGGTTTAAATGTTTTTCAGGTTCTTCAGGAGACCATGGCAAGGCGAAGGCGTGATCGTACCGCTCCTCGTGTTTATGTTTATGACATGGTTCTGGGAATACTCTGATAATTGAAAACCTTTTTGTAATAACATTATTAAAATGGGTTGTTTTTGAAAAGTTTAAATTTTGTTGAAATTTTTGGTTATTACAAGTTGGTATCAGAGCCTTGGTTTGAGTGAATTGGAGGAACATTCGTGTGAATCCAGTCTCAAATCAAGGAGAGTTTTTAAAAGAGAATTTAAAATGGTTTTCAAATTAAGTAAAAAGAGGACACGAAGGTACGATCAGCCGGAGCCAGTAAGTAACCCCAAAATACCATACATGATATTTGTTTTCGAGCTTTGATAGAACAGCATGCTAGTACTAGGCTAGGGATCTTCAGGATTTCATGATAATGTTGCATGTTTTGTGATGCCTGCTAGCATAGGGTTTCCCTCTGTATGAGATTTCCAGTTATCCTCTAGGAGTGAGGATTGAGCGCTTGCTATGTATATGTGTCACTAGGGCGTTGTGGTAGTACTTCATACAAATATGGGTAGGTGTGGAAGGTAGTATGGGCCCGTACTACATGAAAGCATAGGACCCATACGCGTATCAGGGAAACCATGACCTCTAGGGTTGGGTTGAGAGTTGGTCCCCGGGGTAGTGGGAAGTGTCTGAGATTGTGTGGTTTATTTTCAGTATGGAGATTTCGAGGCATGCTGGGAGTGGATCCGAGTCAAGATCGGGAGCAGGAGAGGGAGTTCCGGGCGGGTCAGTACCGCCCGAGGTTATCGGTCAGATGAGCACGTGCGAGTTGAATGCTAGGATTCGTGAGATCCTGCATGATGAGGTTGCTGCGTTGTTCCAAGCCGAGCTGTCGGAACTGTTTGGGTTGATCAAGACCGCCATGGTGGAGTATTTCGATGAGCGCTATGCGGCTCTCACTGAGACAGCTGCCACGGCGGCTACAGTGGCTGTAGCAGCGGCAGGGGGAGGAGCTGGTAGAGGTTTTCAGTATAGGGACTTCGATAATATGAAGCCTCCCACCTTTGATGGAGTTCAGGACCCGATCGTTGTTATGAGATGGTTATCGGACGTGGAAGGGTGTTTCTTCACGTGATCATGCCCTACTGATCAGAGGGTGAGGTGTGCTCGGAACCTGTTAAGGCTCGGGGAAAAGGATTGGTGGAGATCGACCACGGGGTCATACTCAGATGTGCAGAGGGCTACGGTTTCATGGGATCAGTTCAGAGAGATGTTCAACACTCGTTATGTTCCGTAGGTCGAGAGGGAGAGGTTGGCTCAGGAGTTCCTTGAGCTGAAGCAGGATTCAGAGTCGGTGATGGAGATCAACAGGATGTTTACTGAGAGGGCGATGTTTTGCCCTGAGTTCGCTTCGGAGCAGGCTCAGATGTCCCGATATCTGAGTAAGCTGAAGAGAGATATCAGACACTTTGTGTCCGCGCAGAGGTGCGAGACTTTGTTGGAGTTGCAGGAGGCCACCAGGCGGCGTGAGTTGGAGATTGAGTTGCAGTTGCATGAGCTGAGGCAAGCTCCGGTGCAGTCGCAGCCGGCATCGAAACGGTCCAAGACGGTTGATTCCACGGTGGGAGATCAGGGCAGCCACGTTTGTGGGAAGTGTGGGAGGGATCACATCGGAGTTTGTTGGTCCGGTGGTGCATGCTGCAAGTGCAGAAAGGAGGGGCACTATGCGAGGGATTGTCGGTAGTCAGCGCCGGTTCGGGATTTGAGGATTTGTTATCATTATCATCAGGTTGGGCACTTGAGGGTCAATTGCCCACAGCTTGCTGCAGGACCGGTGCAGGCTCCAGCACCGGCCACTTTGAGGATCACAGGTGGAGGCTAGGGTGGAGCGGAGCCCCCAAGGGCTTAGGGTCCTGCTTTTCAGCTTTCAGCAGAGGATGTCAGAGCAGTGCCGGATGCAGCTACGGGTATGTTCCTTTCTTGATATGTTGTTATCTTGTGATTATTGTGGAGTATTATTATCTGCTAGTCTCATTGTGTGGTTTTTCGTTCTGGTATCCGTTGTTCCTTAAGGGTTTGGTATGGTTATAGGTTAGAGTTTGGGTTTTCGTTGGTTATCATTCATGAGGGTTATTAGTGGAAATACAACGTTCGTTTGAATGTCGGGTAGCATCTGCAGTTTGAGGAGTGGATAGTTGAAGATTGAGTTTCTTTCGAGCGGGATGATCAGTGTGGAAATGTGATTTTGTGAAGGTTGTTAGTGCTAGTGGGAATCAGTCTGCGTGTACGTGTTGGGTTTTGTGCAAGGTTGCTTTGGGAGGTCAGTGATAGCGACCGGTGGTTGATAGTTAGTGTCCTAGGTGGGGGAGAATTGGAAATTCTCCGGATGGTCGATAGGCTTGAGAGATTATTTAGCTGCTTGGGATTCAACGATATTTCTGTTAGCCGAGAGCAGGCTGGTATGGGGGAGTAGCAGGAGTACGGGGCGGGATACAGACCTATGGCATTGATTGTGAAGGGACTGGGTTCAGGCCGAGATCGTGTTTGTATGATGGAGATAGAGTTCGGAACCCCTAGAGGGCTAGAACAGTATGCATGGGAGGATTTCCCGGAGAGATAACTCGGAATGATAGATGCTAGTTGCGCGGTCCGGATAGACTGAAG